AACAACGGAAAAATTCTTTCACGAATTTACACGAGGGAAATACGAAACCGAATTCGAACGTACCGCGCAACGATATGGGACACCTGATCCTCTACTATTGCTAACGTTCCGGTAACTGCAAACAGTATCCACTAGCTTCGGATCTTATTCTAAACCCTACCAGCCTCATGCTCACACGTAAGCCTGTGTTGCTTTAAAAGGTGAGGGAATAGCAGACGCTGATTTAACAATGATGGCCGTTGTTTTGATCACGGAGCTGGGCATTTTGGTGGTAAGCACTTTGTGAAAACATAACTGCGATTCGATTACAATTGTACTTTGAGCCTCAGCGCATTTCAACACAAATCAAGCACCTACTATCATACTTGCAACCAAAACGCCCAGCTCAGCTAAGCGAACTGCCTGACTGTCACCCATTGGATGTAGTGGATTGAACTGACCTTGATCGCACTCACGCATTAGTTGAGGTGTCGTCTACCTGCCGGAAGACCTCTATAGTCTGCAGCCACTGAGGATGGCACTCCTGGCTGTCAGGGGCACGATTGAACGTGTGTTGGACAAAAATATGCAGGATCTTGTCCGAGGTATCAGAAATCACAAAAACGATGAGGTACGACGTCCGTCATGCTATTCTTATTATAGCAGGTGAAATACATAAGCGAATGCTTAGAAGAAATAAAGAACGAGCTTAAGCAGGGCTCGTTTCCTTCAAAATCCAATGCTGTATCAAAGCTCATATATGTAAACAGCAGTGTTTTTTATAGGCTTATTTTTTAGTTACAAATGCTCGGATATGATATCAGCTGGGCCATGTTTAATACGGTGGAAGTCATGAGCTCCCCAAAATTCACGTTCAAAGTAAGTGTCATATTTTTATTGCGTGATTATTTGCAGCGTATCGGCTATCTGTCCGCTTCTCAAAGTTTTCGTCCTGGTTCAGATGTGTTATTACTGGCCACCAATCTAATTCGCAAGGCATGTCTGCTATTCGTGCACTTACACGATCTTTAGGACTTGTGCAGCGCAAATATGTACGATGCCGGGGTGGCACTATCTGGGTTGTCATGCTTCATGACTCAGGACCTGGCGATGGATCTGTATAATGATGTCTTATCTCTGGTATGTTTTTCTTTACTAGTTCTGACCGTTAGTTTTGCATATAAAACCCAGCATGCTATTGTATTCTGGAGTATCTTATAGAGCGTGTCTTTGGCTGTCTTTCATGAAGGCCGCCATGTGTTTGCGAGCACTTGTAACCTTTCAAGTAAACCGATCAGCTAGTAGAGGGATGGTTGTTTTTTAACCTCTTCGATTCAGTAAATTCCCTTATGTGACTGTCCGCTGCGGTAAACCATAGTGGAATAGTGAGGTTATTCCTGATTCATGGTCGGTCTTGACTGCTTAGCCTTCTCAGGATAGACCGGTCCTTTGTAACCAACTGGGTTCACACTAGTGAGTCAGTGGCTCCGAACAGGATTTCCTTGTGGATCCAACTTCTGACTCAAAGACTGATTAGGGCCCCGGAATAAAACCCTACACTCCCATTTTCTCATAAGCCAAAGGATCAAGATGGGGTATCCCAAGGAAACCACCTGCCTGGGTACCAGGGCGCTGTTCAAGATTTTTGTCTCAAGGTGAAGATATGGTCGATAACTCCTCGACCTGTACGAAACCGTGCTTGATTCTCACGAATCTGTCGCTCCCGATTGTCCATCAGTCTGCCCAAAATAATGCCAGAGAGCATCTTAGATGCGACATATATCAGGCTGACATCACGATAGTTTTCGCATGACGTTCTTGCTACCTTTTTGAAAACTGGAATGACAGTCGAGGAGCATCATTCGGCTGGTATTCCGTTTTCGTTTCAAATATTCTGCAGTACAGTGGTCAGACTATTCAAGAATACCTCGCTACCTTCTTTGAAGAGCGCGGGGTGTAGACCATCCGGGCCAGGTGCCTTGTCGCGCCTCAGAGTTAAAATCTCGCTCTGGATTTCGGTTGCTGATGGTGGGTGGTTGTCAATGTTCCATTCGGGCCTGCTTGGTTCTTCCGGTGGTTGTGCTGAAGGAGACCAGGTAAACTGTTCTTGGAAGTGCTCAGCCCACCGCTCAAGACGGCGATTGAGGGGATGAGTTGCTTTTCCGTCTTTTTCACGTATTGTCTCGCTGACACCTGTCTTCTTTTGACCCGTTGGTCGGATCAGTTCAAACGGCGCGGCTGTTGCCTGCAGGAAAAGCCTTCTCCATCTCCTGGGCCTTCGAAATCCACGAGCGTCCTCTGTCATTCCTTAAGCTCCTGAGGGATCTGCGTGCGCAATCATAATCGCTAGTGCCTGGTATGACCTTTTTAGCAGCAATAACATCTGCTGATTTCGAAGATATCCAGCGTTCACTGAGTCGAGTCAGATTGGCTGCACTAATAGCTATGAAAGTCGATAGCATTGCTTCTTTGACTCACATCCATTCAGACTCTAAGTAATCTCCGTCGTCCACATGACTGTGCGTTTCTAGTAGCTTTCCAGCCAGATCAGCTCGATACTCCTTGGCTACGGTAACTTGTCGAGGTTAATGAACGGAGCTGCTCTTTTTCGGCACACGTAGTGCTGGCTGAAAGCGAATCGCTAAGTGAGCCCACACGATGGCGTGATTAGAGTCCAGTTGCGTGCCCCAGAAGGAACGACAATCCTTAACTGAGGTTCTCCATCGGCAACTGATAGATATATGGTCCAATTGAGTCCACGACTGTCTGGTGGTAGGTGGCCTCCAGGTAACTCGGTGTGTGCGTTTGTGTTGGAAGTTCGTACTGGCCAGGAACAGACGATGCTGTGCACACATCTGAAGAAGCCGCTCTCCGTTATCCGTACGCTCAGCATTGACTCCAAATTGACCACCTAACTGTGCTTCTTTCGGACTTAGTCGTCCAACTTGGGCATTCATATCACCGGCTAGAATTGCTATATCCGTTCTTGCCGACCGAAGCAGTCGTGACAGATCGTGATTAGACTCGTCCTTTTCAGTCTCAGAAATGCTATTCGTTGGAGCGTATGCTGATACGACAAACGAAACCGTTTGCCGCATCGACCTGCGTTAATCTTAATTGAGCCAGACAACCCCACAGCGCTAAGGCGACCATATACTGGGATCCAGTTCAGTAAACTGTTTTCAGCCTTGAGGATGAGTGTAGATACCACGAGCCATTGCGTCAGAATCACCAGATAACCGAAGGGTGAAATGTGGAACATCTGGGCTCGTCCTAAGTGGCTTGAAGAGCACGATCGAAGTGGGATCTTGTAAGCGTGTTTCGGATACACATCGATAGAGAGGGACAGTAAGGTTTCCACAAGGTATGCCTGTTGCCGGATTCGACATAGAGTACGGGCATTAAATGCTGCAACGTGAATCAGATCTTTTGAGGTTAGTAAGTGATTATTTTGGTTTATTTTCTGGGCGATGGTTGAGATGGGTTCATTGCACTGCATTGTACGGTGGTTTGGGAGGGAATGGGGGAGAACGTCAGCGAGTGAAGTGCTGCAGGGGCAAATGATACTTCCCCGTTGCCCAGGCCGAAGAAGTGAGTTTAGTTGAGGTACCCTACTTTGAGCCTTTGACCCAAAAGTCTGACCCACAAGGCAGTGGGAGGATGTAGGGTTTTGTTCGGGGACCTTGACCCTAGCCTCTGACTCAAGATTCTGGACCGCGAAACAGCGGTTGTTAGGGTTTTCTTGGGGGACCCTTCCCGGAGCCAATGACTCAATTGTCTGACGTACCTAGCTGTAAAGTGCCGAGCTGGCTTGGGGCGCAGTCTCACTTCTGATGCGGCTGCGCACAGCAGGTGACTTTTGAGCAGAACTGGGATCTTTGGTTGTAAAAGTATTTCGACCGTATTGGATAATTCGCCGGCGATCACGGTCAACCGTGGGGCGATCGGAGTTTGCGGTTTTTGGGGTCGACCTCTTCTAACCTGTCCTTCCTCGGGGAAAGGCAGCATCGCTGCTTCCATAAATATGGACATGTTGGTCGCCTGATGGAAACGCCCCACTGCCTTCACACACCTGTCGCAGAGGACAGTACGACTTTACCTCCAGACCGCCTCGTAATGCGATTACTCGTAGTACTCGCTGTTCTTTGTCGGGCTTCTCTCCGTTGGCCCTCCTGGCATGGTTGAACCTTTAGAAACTGAGTTCCAGCCAGTATAACCTACAGGGTCATTGCAGCACAGAAGCCCGACCACCACGACAAGGTGACAGCTTTGGGTCGTGCTTTTGGTTGTACAACGGAAACTTCCATTGAAGAATGTGCACAGAAGCTGCGTTGGTTAGGCCATGTATTGCATGTGCCGAACCATCATTTGCCAAAGAAAGTGCTGTTTTTCGTTCCCGATTCAGCGTGGCGGAAGCAGAGAGGTGACCTGTTAAAGGGGTATGAAAGAGATTACGAAACGTTTGGTTGCTTTTGGTGCTACTCGCCTACCAGGATGGGAACCGTGTGAGCCCCCTTGTTGGGGACGCTGCAAGATATCATTGCTAATCGATGTCACTGTTGTTCGTGTTGTCAGCTTCTATTTAGATTGACTTGATGAGTGCCTGGAGGTGCAGGCGCCTCGGAATGATCGTAGCAATGTAGCGCTAAGTCCCTTCCCTGTCCACCTTTATTTATTTCCTCACAGTAAAGCTGTCGAATAAATCCTTGGCTGTAGGACAGCGGAGCATCAGTGTTGAACACCAATATCATGCTGTCCATGATGAGGACAATGATATTGTCAGACGCGGCTCAGTCGTTTCCTCAGTTGCGCTCATGCATCCAAGCGATTGCCCTCACTCCATGGCTCCCCTCCCAGTCTCCCTAATGAAAAGTCCCATGACGACCGTGTATTCGCGCATCAATTATATCAACCACCGCCTTCAATGTGCGGCTATCTACCTCACCTCCAAATCGCCGGCAACCGCAGTTGATGTTGGTTGGTGTTTTCCGCCATTGAGTCGCCCATTATAGAATCAAATGCCTCTTTTCTAATCGCCTCATTAGGAATCTGACACCAGCAATGCTTCTGGGACGTCGGTGATAGAAAACCTGAAGACGCCCCACACCATTCCTCCATGGGGAGCATGTCTCGCAATCACAGTCACACAGCCCTTACTAAAGCCCAGTACACGCGACCCTTGAGACCCAGTGACATGCCTTTTTAACGTCGTAAGTGAGGCAAATTAGTAGGCATGTTTTCGGGCCTCTAGGATTCATACACCGACTTCACCAGGCACACGTCCGTCAGAGCTAATACTACTACTACTACCGAGGTATGCAAAATTCTCCGTTACCCCCATCGATTCTTGAAATTTCAGGGGTTTGTTCAGAAAATGCATGTTATGAAGCATGACTTTGCACTTTGAAGTTGCTGAAAGATGACATGATGGTGGTTATTTTACTCAACAGGGCTTGTACTTCGTCTTCAACGATGAGGGCGAGCTCGTCCGCACAAACCATCTCGCAATATTCCCTTCAGCAACAATTTGAACTCCGGGGTTTTGAAGACCTTCCAACGTTTAAGTCATTATTTTGACAATGATGAATTTGAACGAGAACGGGAGGAGTTAGACATCCTTGTCAGACCCCACTTTATGTAGCGAAGCTTTTCGAGAGTTCGCGATACACACGTCCATAAGTATATGAATATTGGGACCAGATTATGTTCACTAACTTCTGGGGCATACCGTGTTGAAAAAATCTTGTTAACAGCACCGGCCGATTAGCAATAAAACGCATCCTTGAAATCAAGGAACCCCAATAATGTGTGCAGTGTGTACATATGATGTTCTAACACCTGACGGAGTGCGAAGTTGTGGTTGACGCAGCCTCTGCCAGGCCGATATCTCGCTTGATGTTCACGAATCAATCGTTCGCGTGCCGCCGTAAGACTCCTGGGAATTAGTAATTTCAGAAGCCTGTTACAACGACAGTCAAACTGACCGGTGGTTAATGCACTCACTGAGAGTACCCTTTTTGAAAATGGGCACTATTATCGATTCACCCAGTTATCTCCCAGATAGACCCAAATAGGCTAGTTCAACTGTAGTACCCTTGGTGCCGTGACATCCGAAGCAAGCACGAGGACTGGGGTACTACCAGGTGGCCCAAGCGTAGATAGGGAAATTAGAAATGCAGAGGTCGGGTTCGAACCACGGACCTTCCGTTCAGTAAATTCGCGCTCTAACCACTGACTAGACAGAAGAATTCACCGCAGACTAGGTCGTCAGTGCCAGCAGCACAATGACGCTTGGGTAAAGATGTTCACTCGGAATCTAAGGTTGAAGGAGGCTGCATATTTACTGTCCATGTTTCTGCTGAATGGCAGGATTCCTAATTTGAGGCAACAGGTGCCCGGCTGAATTGCTGTTCGAAGTACTGTGCCCATAGGTTCTCCTTCGCTGTTTATCAGAAAGCCCTTTTGTTCCCTTATAGTTTCACTGACAAGGGCCTTCCGAGGACCAGTCGAACGAATCAAGTGGAACAATCGGCGAGTGTTTCCAGCTTTTTTCATATCTTCCATTTCTTCTGCCTTTACGGTCCACCAAGCTTCTCGGTCTTCCCGGACACTCGGTTTTACCTGGCGTTGAGTGATGTGTTGGACTGAGTTGTGCTTGCGGTCAGGAGGAATCTGTCGCTAGGCTTCCAACAAAACCACAGTCCTATCAGAAATCCAACGTTTGGATGAGAATAGCTAGGTTATACCGTAAACGCAATTTCCGGCTTTGAGTAGCTTTTCGAGTTGTGTTCCTAGTGGCTACCAATATCCCACGTCTGACCAACCGGTAGGCACTCGGAAAGCTGGTGCTATTAGGTTTGTTTTATTTTTCGTCAATGGCTAAGCGAGGTGTGCGCGTTTCCTGCTCAGACCTGAAAAAGCGCAGTAAAAAGTGACAACGGACAAATGGATGACCGGGGTCTACGCCGGTATTCCAGAAGGAGCGGCAGGCCAGTGATCGACCCTCGCTACCAATAACTGACGGCGATGTGGTGTAGTTGGATTCAGGACTGGTTCGTTAGTGGACATCACGCTAAGCGATTACCGCGGTTTCGGAAATCGGTACTACAAATGGATGGTCTGTGATCGGCACCCATCTGATATAGACGATTCCCCTTGTCCGTCTCTCTTGCATCCAACCGATGACGATCATTCATTTGGACGCCACTAGAGCTCAGTCTACCTACCGGAACGATCATTTCACCAGCAACCATAATGATATTTAAGCTTTTAACCCATTGTAAAGGATCACAAAAAATCGTTAAGCTGTAGCACTTTCGGTGCCTAATTTCCATGCCACCCGAAGGTCGCATGAGGGCTGGGATCTTGTCAGGCTGCCCAAGCCTAGACAGGGTTCAAACCACGGAACTTCCGGTCAGTAAATTCGTGCTCTAACCACTTGAGCTATCTCACCCCAATGATCACCTAAAGCGCAGTAGAAGCCGTCGTTGGCATATTCAGAGCTACAATCTGTTGGAGTGTAAGTAGGCAGTAAACAATGCACCACCAACCTCACTTTCTTGCGATCTTCTCACAGACGTTGCAAAATGAATCGCGCAGAGACGGCTATCAACATGTATCCAGCCAAGAACAGGCATTTCCACCCGACTGCACACTTATCAGTTTTGACCTTTTAACTTATTTGGTGCAGCATATTGTGAACAGTGATCCTGGCGTTCGCTCCCACAAAGGGAAACGGCCATGATGTCTTTCTGTACATCGCCGAACATAGTGGAGTTGGTTGGCGAATATATCGTTCACTGAGAGCTTGCGGGTAGAGGCAGCAGCAGCAGCAACATCAGTGTTGGCACTGATGCTTCACTGCCCTACAACCATAAGGTTCGTCTAGCATTCTTTGCATCTTCCGCTTCTTCGACCTTTCGGGTCCACCAAGCTTCTCGGTCTGCGCGGACACTCTGTTTCACCTGGCGTCGGATGATGCGCCGGGTGGAGTTGTGGTGGCG